TTGAAAAGTTTAGACACATTTTTCAATGACATTATGTAAGCAACATGTACCATGTAGAAAAGATTCGAATGAAGTGTATTGAATGTCATGAGTACTTTATTCCCACATTGATACTAGACACATTAATTAAATCAAGAAGGAGCTTTATATTACTTCCAAAACCGTCTGAAACTATGCAAATCACAAATATAGGAAGAAAATTATATATTGACCACTTAACAACAGTTGTACTATGAAATACTTGAAGTAAAATCCTAAGTGACAGGAAATTTTCAGTTTAAAAAGGTCTTAAGGAATTCAGAAGACGACAAGTACAATTTCAAAGGCTTTTTTATTCTTCAAGTCTAGGGATTTTTCAAACGTAACAAACTTAAAACGTGAGATATTTTTCGATACAAATAAATCCATTTCAGTTTCCGTTTGGAAAGGACAGGAGGCTTAATGGCATGTATTAATCCTGGCAGTTACGGTTATTCAGTTGATCCAGCTTTCTTTTGAAAGAGTTGACGGATGGAGTCTCAACCACGTGCTGAGGTAGTGAATTCCACTCGTTGATGATTCGGTGGGAAAGTCGATAGTCAGGTGACGAGTAATTTGTTCTGGGACTGTGAACCTTTTTGGAGTGTCCTCGTAAATTCTCTGTTTTGGAAGACAAGAAAAATGAGGGCATATCAGGTGCAAATTTATCACAAAGCAGTTTGAAAACTGTAATCAAGTCGCCTCTAGTTCTGCGATTTGACAACGGGAAAAGGTTCAGCTTGGCCAGTCGAACTTCATATGGAAGCTTCGCTATTCCAGGAATCAGCTTAGTCGCCGTTCTCTGAACCTTTTCCAGAAGCTCACTGTCTTTTTTAAGCTGGGGCTAGCCGCTTGTATGCAGTACTCAAGTTTAGGACGAAAACACTGTATACAGAGTCAAAAACGTTTTAGCGTCGACATGACTAAAAGCTCTACGTATTGACCATAATGTTCTAAAACATTTGGCGGCTATTGCACGGCAGTGTGCAGTAGTCTTTAAGTCTTGACTAACGATAACTCCTAAGTCATTATATGTCTGGACGACAGGTAGCTCAGTGTTATTCATCGTGTATGTATCTGTGCCTTGAAGACCGATATGCATCACAACACACTTGGAAGTATTTATCGGCAACTGCCATGTTTGAGACCATTCAGATAACTTCTTCAGGTTATTTTGAAGTTCTAAGCCATCACTCTTACATCGTATCGTTCTCCATATCATGACATCGTCAGCATATAGCAAGACCGATGATGATAGGAGACGAGGAAGGTCATTTACATACAAGAGGAATAGCACTGGCCCCAAAACTGTACCCTGGGGCACTCCACTAGGCACAATTCCCCGGCTAGATAACTTAGAGTTCACCGTTACTCTTTGTTGACGCCCAACTAGGAAGTCTTTTATCCACATCAATAAATTTCCTCCAATCCCGACATTTCTTAACTTATATAACAGCCGGTTGTGCGGAACCTTGTCAAAAGCTTTACTGAAATCAATGAAGGCGACGTCTACAGGTAGCTTTTGGTCCTTAAGAGCGCACCAGCTTTCACGAGCCACTAACAAGTTAGTGAGACAAGAATAACCTATTCTGAAGCCGTGCTGCTTCTCCGAGAGGATCCGGTTTTTATCGAGATACTTAAACAGCTCCTTCCGAATAATCTTTTCTAAGATTTTAACAACCACACTAGTTAGGCTAACGGGGCGGTAGTTCTCAGGTTTGTGTTGCGTACCTGTTTTGAAGACAGGACTTACTATGGCGTTTTTCCAGTCTTTCGGTAAACGACCCTGCGTAACGGATAGGTTAAAGCATATACTTAAAGGGTTCGCTACGAAGTTAGATAATTCCTTCAGTAGCCTAGGATGTAATTTATCGGGTCCCGTGGATTTATCTATGTCGAGCTTATTTAATAGACCAAAGACATCGAGTTCTTTAATGGTCACGCTGTCCAGTGTTTGTGTGGGAGGATTTGTAATGAATGACTGGAAGGGTGTTTCTATGGTATGTACATTTCTAAAGTAGTTTGATAATACTTAAGCCTCACCAAAGTCGTCCTCCACTAATGACGAAGCCTTACTACCTTCCTATAATGCAGGAATATTTCCTCTTCTTGTCGTTTGGTTTATATACGAATACAAGCGTTTAGGACATTCTGTGGATCACTTAACAACTTTCTCTTCGTACAATCTTCTAGACTTACGGAGGGTTGAGGCACAGATATTCCGAGCTTAATGCTGGGATTTTGTCTCACCAGTTCTCAGTAACATAAATCTACAACACATTTTTCTCCTCTTACGGAGAAGGATATGGACCTCCCTACTGGACCATGGTGGGGAGTTTCTCGGCCCCCTTGATGTAGTTCAAGGAATGTGGGGTGCGTTAACTTTTAGGTATAAACTTCGAAACATGTCCCAAGCCTTTTTGATCGAGGGCTCTATCTCTCTTGTCTAATCTACTGACGATGCTGAGTGCATGATATTTTGTATGTTTGCTTTTCAAACGTCAGGTCTGGATTGAGCCGACGCGTGCTCGTGATTGACAGTTATATAGAAGTCAAAGGTTGGAACTGCATGATCACTTTAATCTAGGAGTGGGATGTAATCGAGGTTCGTACCGTCATCCTCATAATGAGTCAGTACAAGAAATAGTAATGATGATTCAGATTCCAGGTCGTACCTAGTCGCTTCTATCACATGTTACACTAGGGCACATGTGATAACCTCATCAATTAGTTCCTGCTCGAAGAAATTATCTGACAATTCAGTTCCCAGTCTACCATAAACGCATGAAACTCCCCTAGGATTAGACATCGACCACTTTGTGACCAAGTATTGACATTGCTATGCAAGACCTCATTTACCTCACAGCTTGGACTGCGATAGACTAAACCAATCAGCAGCTGTTGTCCCTTGCATTTCAAGAGGCAACTAACCAATTCACAAGTCTCACTCGCATGGGATACACTGTCGATAATGGCAAATGGAATAGCGTTCCTAATGCATAGAGCTATTCCTCCTGTTTTACGCTTCTATATTATATCGGTACTTACTAAAGTAAAACCCTCGAAATCAAGTTCCATACTATCTATAGACTGTGTCAGCCAGGTTTCTGTGACTGCGACTATGTCTGGCTTTGTAGAGTTAATCTGTACACCTAGTTCCGATCGCTTATTGAGAAGGCGTCGGACATAAGTGAAACAGATCCGAAGCCCATTTAAATGGCCTCGTGCTGCACCTAGAGTGGCTTCGGCATCATTCTCTATCGAAGCCTCACAACCCGAAAATTTACAATTTTTAGGTCTTTTCGCCAGCGTTCAACCAAAGTTGTGGTTCTTTTTTGGCTTCCCGTCCTTTTTCACGGTCTGCCAACGGTAATTCCTTACAGACGAAAACCCCTGAACCCTTTAATTTATGTCGATTTTGTAAAATTAAGTCCCGTTCATTTGCCGATTTTAATACTACATCAAGCAGCCTGGTTTGATTAGGTTTTAAGTTCACTTGACTACCTAGTCTATACACCTTTAGCAAGGTGACTCCGGAGATATTTTCAGGCTTAAGTTGACTTGGTAGCTGTTTTATCAGCCCAAAGTCATGCTCAATTGGAGATTTCCGTTCAAAGCTTTTACTCTCCTTGATTCTATGAAAAATAACTGACCTGTCACTGTGATCAGTCTTCGATTTCTCGACTAATTTGTTTAGGGGGGAAGATTCTCTTTCATATTGTTATGTTGTTTCTTCCTTACAACCTGTACCCATTCGCCAACGTTGCTTGGAGTAGCAAATATAGTCGCGTCAAATATATCGTGGAATTCGGGAGGGTTATAGACAACTCTGGAAGTCAGGTTGTGGTTTCCGCTAAAAACCAATCGAGCCTTGCTACTGCGGTTCCTAAGCGTTTCCTGTTGGATGCCATTTAGAGGACGGGGGACAGAGAAAAATTACTTTCTTGAGTTTTTATTCAAGACAGACCTCTTTGAAGACTATCTTTCATCCTTTGATCAATATGGGTCAGCAATCTCCGAGCTCGCCTGAATTTGCTTCACATCAATTTGTGTGTTGACAGAGCGAGTGCTGTCCGATCTGCATCGACCGCGCTTGCTAAAACACTTTTTTGCAGTATTTGCAGCAATGAGATTACCTCGGTTAGCAAGCTGTTTGCGTCCGAACAGCACTGCTGAAAAGTCCATAAGCAACCGTCTTTACCGAATCGTTTAAAAGCTGCAGGCGTCAAATTTGTGCAAACTCCGTGGTACTAGCCTTTGCACTCATCGCACTGCATGCCGCTTTCAATGGGATATCGACAGCTCGGACGTTGGCAATTGTTTATTTGCACTGCCTAGTCATCAAACAGAGGTCCTGTTTCTAAAAAATAGATACAATAGTACTCAAAAGCCAAAATGGTCTATGACCAAAAAAATGGAAAACTATAAATTGTTTGGACCAAAAGTACTAACAAATACAATAGAAAACAAAATACTCAAAAGTACCGACAATAAATCACTTCAGAAACATAAATGATACTCTAATCGAATACTTTAACTGAACTAAATTCAATCAAAGTGTAAACAGTAGTCTTGATATGTAATAAACGATTAATACAATAAAATTTACTCAGCGAGGAAAAATACCACTGCCCTTTTAAATAACGCGCGTGTCGTTGTATTGCATAATTCGAAAGCTGTTTAAAATGTATCAAAAGCAACTTTGAAGAAACATATGCATAAGATTCAACTTAGCACAATAAACTTCAAAATGACTGAAAGTTTTCTGCTTCGTTTCTTGAAGACTGAGTGTCACACACACACCACTTGAAGTTCCTTTATTAATGCTTCGTTAGACACCAAACACGACCTTTTTAATGTTATTTCGGATTTATTTCGCCCTAAATAACTTAACTTCTTACTGGTATTATTTCTAAATACTAATGCATCTGATCAAACATCAGGTTATACTTTAGCAGTGTTTGTTTGTACCAGTCATCAGTGAGCGAGATTTGGTCTTTCTCCGAAGATGGCGTCGTCCTCCTCAGCTGAGGGCATGTCCATCACTAAGGGAGGAAGTATATTAGTAAAAGTTGAAGATCTCACTGGAGAATTGATTTCTGTTAAGCTTATAGATGGAGATAAAATCTTCCGTGGAATTTTACTGCAAGAAACTATTGGGTAGGGTTGTTTGAACGATTTTTCGAAACGTACTATTTATTGTCCCTGTCAAGATTAACTGAAGCTTATGAAAGTTGATATTGTCCAATAGTTCGCAATTTTCTTCTGCTTTTTAAACACCGATATAAGCTAAAGATCTGGCTAGATAAACTTAATAATTCAATTTCGAAATTTACATGAGTCACATGCTTAGTTTCTGTCTTCACATATTCTCTGACTTTGGGGAAACACCCTCTAGTTAGCCTTATTGTAGCTGCTCGAGATTCACATTTTCACAGCATTGATGTTATACAGTCATTCTTAATGGTATTCCTCTCAGAATGCTTATTTGTTTCACTCATGTAGTCACCTAAAGATCAGATTTCAAGAAGTTCCCTTGTCAGTTAGTCTCGTGAAGATGATTTACTCGCTTACCGCTATACAACGTTCTTTCTGACTTACATTTAAACCTATAAAAAAGCGTCGGGAGTGAGTTTTCTAATCACCATAATGCTTATATATTAAAAATGCTTGTCATTGATGAAGTGCTCACCGCGCTAAGTATATTCTGTTTGCTGTCTTGCGGTCTGATGAAGTCTGGTTTCTGTCGAAATGGTTGCTCATTAAGATTTTTTACGTTTACATTATCTATTTAATGCTTTGGTTGGTCCAGACAACTGCTTCAAACTTAGTAGGTTTAAATACACACTCCCCGGAATTCTTAGTGATGTATGGTAGGATGCCTAAAATAATAAAAAAGGATACTAAAGTATGGCATTGGTTTCTATCCGTATAGGGAGTATGTTAATAGGGCAAATGATACTCAAGTAATACAGTTCGCTCTTAATCATTTGGCAATCGGTGTTCGTAGGTATGGCATGCACCTTGCACCTTCTGGGTAAAACTACGTCTTCAAGACTGGAAAGACCCTGAAATTGCACTCAGATAGTGGTTGAAAGGTTCGTGTATCTGGGTAGCTGCGTAAGTGCTAGTGGTGGCGTGAGTGATGACATCCATTCATGTATAGTGAAAGCCAGAGCGTCTCAAGCCAATCTGGGCCATCTTCGGCACCTTCATGATGTTAGTCTGACTGTTAAAAGTTGGATCTGAAACGCGTTGGTGAGAATTTTGCTTTATGGTTGCGTAACTCCACTTCTCCGAGTTGGGAATGTTCGACGACTCCGTGCCTGGTCGTTGTCCATGAAGGACTGCTGACATTCAGCGACATCATGTTAGTAATGCAGAGGTTCGGCAGTGTGTGTTCGGGCACAATTGGGACAATTTGATTGATATCACTATCTTGTAACATCGAATCCGGTGTCTTGGGGATGTCGTTCCAGAGAATCCCATGTCGTGCATTATTTGTCAACGCTGGGACACGATTTTGTTGGTCCTTCATAATTCCCTTGAAATGAAAGCAAGTTTGGATCTTGCTGTAACTTTCTTTTACTTCATAAAAGTGAACATAACTTCCTTAACTGAGAGAATTATTTCTGGTTGTATTTTTGCTAACTGGATTGCTTCCCCGATTATTATTTCACCCCCATACACTAATTTTTTCGATTGTCGCTGTTTTTGTTATACTCATCTTCCGTCCTCTATCTCCACAACCTCATCGTTATTGTGTGGTGCAGTATCACAGCCCACACGCAAATCAAGTGACTTGAGTGACGCATATGTATTCGGTGCCCCTTTGTACCAATATTTATATGTTCAAATAAGTAAATCTGCCACGTTAACCGACTATGTATGGAATATCAGAAATGGTGGTAAACCACCTGGTGTAAGCATAGGCTTTCATCGATTGAGGTATTTTAAGCGCATTACATATAATTAGCTTGTGGTTGTATCCCAGTGCTATGCATACGCGTCTTAGAATTTCAGTGGTAAACTAGACGAGGTAGCATTTTCTTTGGACTGTTCAACGCCATATGTGACTAATGCAACTCATATGATAAAGCGGATTGAGTGCATGGGGTAACCTTAAAAGTTATGATTTTTTACGTCTTGAAATCCTTAAGTCAAATTACATTTCACCATAGCGTATCACAAATATATAAACTAGAGTGAGTCTGTAGCTCATTGAACTTCAACTATCGAATTTCCTACCTTTTATTCTGCGGATCCACTCTTGAATCATATTGTCTACACTTGATTTTCCATACTACCACATAATATTACTACTACTCTAGCTTGTCTTGATAATTCCATCCCACTGTGCTGATACGGTCTGGTGACTAATGCATGTGTGTGCCAGGGCATACGCTGCCCGTGATTGATTAACTATCAGGTCTTAAGTCTGCTGTTATTTTTCTATTCATATCGCTCAGCGCCTCCGATTTTTACTATTTGATGCGTGTTATACAAGCCTGTACTTGTCTGCTAAGTTTTGTTAGTCTGATTTAATAAGGTGATACACGACAAATCAATTGGTAGATTATGCAACCGTCTAATTACTAGTTTAGTATTGTTCACATCTGAAGTGGAAACATCTTGTCAAGTAATCGGTTCACGTTTTAGTCTCTACGTAGACCGGTGTTAAAACCTATTGTGGATAGTAGTATTAGTAGTTGTAATACTTTCACAACTGTTTTCTCTTTATACTTTCAGGATGTATAAAAGAGAAAAGTTTTGCGTATTATTTCTTGTCCTCTTTCACTTGGCTTTCGCTTATCATGGGGCGGTGGCTTAGTGATTAAAACCAACTCTTAGCCTTTCCCAGGTTCAGATCTCGCTTCAACTACTTCGTTCTGGGCAACCGTGGAGTATCACTAGTCCCCACGTTTAGGATGTGACTCATGCCTTTGTACCTGGTAAATAAGTTAGTTTTAATTGACTATTCTTTTACCATTTGGTTGTTGGTTGCTCTTCTACACTATATGTAATTGCTACTTTTATATTCTGCTGCTTTTGTCAACCTAAGTTAGTTTCCATCTTTTAATCAATAAAGAGATAAATCTGATCAGCTGTTTGCTGTTGAGAGAGGTTTATCATTGCCAACTCCTGTTGTGTTACTGATGGTTTAGTTTTTACCAAACATTGAGTGTTTTATTTTGGTCCATGACTCTTAGGTAGGATTTGACTAATGGCGTTAAGTTTTTGTTAGTCTATTAGTGTCTAGCTATCACATTAGGTGACCTCATTGAGGGCTGTACCATGACATCGAGTTGCCTTAATTTTCTCAGCCGGTCATTCTGTCCTGTAGTTTACCACGCATGTTAGCATTATAAAAAGTCGAAGAAAAATGATGATTCCATTAAAGAAACAACTGTGCGGCAAAAAACTTTCTAAAAAGTACTGACATTGCCTTTATGGTAATTTCCATATCTTATGTGTTTTCTCTAAATCAATTGTTAAATAACGTAGCTCAAGTTATCGAAGGACATTTTGTCGTACACATCACAGTTGTCGAGTGGTTGAGGCACCTAGTACGCCTCCTTACCATCAACGTATCAATAAAAAGACTCATATTACTGCATATTTCAAGTATGTAGTAGCTTGAATATAATTGATTGTAATTCGAGAAATATTGTTATTGTAATGAGCCTTTAGCCATCCTATATATATATATATATATATATATATATATATATATATATATATATATAATGAGCAATATAGACCATGGTGCGTGTATCAGCTCAAGTTGCCACACTATATCATCACAGCAAGGTGATATTATCAAGACGAATGCTGCTGTAGTGTAAACTGTAGCAATGTCAGTAGTAGTAAGAAAAACGGCATGATAAAGAAAAAAATTTGTGGACTAAAAGTGTGGATATTTTAAGGTAAAAAGACTGAGTGTGTCTGTGCTAATTACCAGCCATTTCATCCACCACGTATATTCCAAACGCTGGTAGATAAATATTGGTCTTCTGATATCTGAGAAAAAATAGTTCTGATTTCTTGAACACTTTACCGTCGCTTTTATTCAAGTAATATTGGGTATATTAACGCTTCTTTCTTTCACTGTTGGATTTTGAGAATAAATATCTATTTAACTCGGGTTAATATCATTTTGCCTTATTTACCTTTTAGTTATCATGTTGTAGGTATCATAATAGCATAGAAATGTCCTATGAAAGTCGTAAGACATCTTAGGTATGTAAAATTTTAATCTAATCACTACCATTATCCATATCTTAGAAATGATGGTACGATGAGTTAATCTACTTTGGTAATATTTATACTCACTATATAACTTTTTCGTATCAAGGATAGGTTTGTGTACGTAGTTTTGAATCCCAATTTATCTTGAGAGTTAGGGATGCTACTCGACTGACTAAACCGAACTAAATAGAGCAGGATTTGTACGTAGGAGTAGTTGGTTGAAAGTCAGTTCACTTTCGTGATTAATCCATCTCTCCAAGATAATTTCAAAAGCCCTATGTTATTCGAAGACACCAATGAATACTTGGTAAGAATATAGAAGTTTTAGCGTAGAAATACGAAAATAACCAGTTCACAATCATTCTACAACATCGTAGTCAAACGAAGGTTGAATAAAACTAACATTGGTGATTAATTATTAAGTGATACCCGATGCCATGTTTGTTTAGTCTTTAGTGTTTATCGACCAAGTTACAATGTGGTCACTATTCTAAGTAATTCGATGTCATATGTACTATGCTTCGATATTAAGTGGGTACTTTTGCTTCTTACCAATGACTTACAACTAATTACCTGATTCTTTTACATCACCCTATTCTCAATTTGTGTAGGTCTTTTTAATTCACCACTTCTTGTAATAGCGTTTATTTAGTTTATTTAGTCTAAACATGTACCTTTCTAGAGTAGCTGCAAAATTTCAATTCTGCTGGATGAAATCAACGAGGAAAATAAAGGACAAGCACTTAATAGTTACTAACAAAGAAAGTAAAGTAAGACTTGAGAATCAAAGAGTATAGCACAATAAGGTTTCCGAAATTTGCAAGAAAGTGATAGTCACACTTATTTGCTCACCAATTTTGATTTTAAGTTGTTTCGTCTTGCATCCGATCAATAACTACTTCGTGGACCTGGTAATTAGTATATGTATTTATTGATGTGATCAAAAGGTTTATAAATTGGTTTGATTGTTTTTCTGCTACCACTAATAAATATGAGATTCTATATACAGAAGTTTACAGTATAGTATATATTGTCTCTGCGACTGAAAGTATTACTACAAATTCAGTCTGTTGCGTTGCATTGGTCAGCGAGAATAATCCTGAAGTTAATGTCCCACTTTTTTTTCCAAAGAACCTTTTGCTAGGCGTTGACTCTACATTCCATCCCCGACTGTTCAATTCAATTCATAACTGACAATTGTGTTAAATAAAAAATCGACTACAATTATGGTCTAATCTTATTTCTGTCAATCATTTCAAAACATTGGTCGATTTCAAATCCAACTTGAGCAAATATGATTCATATTCAATAAACTTCTCATTTCATTGTATTGACCGTGTATATTTTCTTGAAGGTCGAATTTATTTCCGTTAAGATAAATTCCATTTAATCCTGCTATTAGATTGGAGGAAATTGTCACTCCAGTTTACTCTTGATGTATCTTCTAGTCTTGACACAGTTTTTGTAAGTATTCCATATACAATGACTTCCTGAATCTTCATACGATATTTTTCTAAAAACTAGTGCTTATCATGACCAGTTTATTCACCAATCTGTATTAGATAAGCCATGTACCTCAATAATCTGTTAAATCTTTATGATAATATGAATGTACTGATTTGTTTTGTTTCTGGAAATGATGAAATTGGTTAAATTTATTGTTCCCTTAGTATTATGGAGATCCAGCTTTAAATGGATGTGGCTTACAGTTTAAAATGCATGAACAGAACCGTGGCGACTACTTTTTGTAGGTTTGAGCCATATCAGTGGGTGTAGAGTGCCTGATTGGGGTCTAGGCCATTGTCGTAACGATCGATTAGATACTTTGGGTGTCATGGTTCGAAGTCGCTCGCAATAGTAGAGTTGCATCCACTTCTCGTCTTTTTCTAGGACCTGAGTCCTGAAATCTCCATGTACCTTTCTTTTTTTACTACTGGTGTTGCTACTACCTTTACTATGTCTTTAATTTTCTTTCTGCGCTAATGTAGCAACGCAACTTAAATAAAAAAACATGCATCAGGTTCTACGTTGGGTATGATAATGATTTGCAGGTCTTTCAATATTTTCTTGCTTATTATCGTTCTGACTATTAATAGTAATGTAGTTAAATATTGACTCTTTTACTTATCCAGAGATAAATTAGTTGTGTTAAGGACTGTAACCTGAAGCTAATGATCATGTCCCATCTATCTATGTCTATGGTGGCGTTGGTGCATACGGCTGTGTTTATGTATCATGTTAGTCCATCGAACATTTGAGAAGAGAGCATTTTTCATAGTACCCAATGGTGAGTTTGTGTTCTAAAAAATGCGTAAAATACTGCGAACTTACTCAAATGGATTTATTTGAAGTACATTTTAATACATACAACTAAGTTATGAACTGTCCAAAGCATCAAACAACAGAACCATCGATAAAAAATCTCTTAATTTTTGCACGTTTGGATGTTTAACATTAGTCGTAGAAATGTCTATTGTTTACCTGTTTTGCAATTGAATATCTGGTATCCTGCCTTCGAACTACTTGTTTTTACTACTATTTTCCCATATGCATATTTGACTTGGATTGTTATTTTCACGCTATCTGGTTAAAGGTGGATCTGGAATGTTTAGGTCGCTAATTATTCTGCTAGCTTATTTGGATCCTGTGGCAAGAGATTAAGATACACTATTGGGAATCACTCACTAACAATTCTGCGTGACTCGCTGGATATCAGGATGATCTTAATGAATTACAGCTCGTGTTGGTTTCTGTTTTTTCTACCTTATAAGTTCACTTCTGGTCAGTAATCTTGCCTCAGCTGCTAAGTAAACGGTAATAATAAGATCAGTGACTTCGTCACGAACCAATTTAATAGCATGCTGGGTTATTAGTTTTTCTCCAACACTAGTTTAAATAGTGTAATTGATAAAGGCTAACCATTCATAACAAGTTCCAACCACTTTAGTCGGTGAATGTTTACAGTGGGACTTGCCACCTTCCTTGGCATTCCTCATTAACTTCTACCCGGTTGTCCCATCATACATCTGTAATACTTCACTCTTAAAACATGCGTCATCCACATAAATACAATTCTGGTAACATTATATACCCATGAATTATTACTACTGAGCAGCACTACATTCAAACTTTGATATGCAGTTAAATGTGTCACCTACACTGTAATTGATAATAAGTAAACTAAGTAATATTACGTTTCGTTTCCTCATTTGCATCTATCACATTGTCCTCGCTTATATGAAGCTAGCTGTCAGTAAAATGTACTACCTACCTTTTTTGTTTCACGTTTTTATCATTAAAACAAATTAACATTCAACTTATAGATTTTGCTTGGTAAATAATACTACTACTTCTCTTCATGGGTCCCTAGATTCAACGTCATGATTATTTGTATATAAGCGAGCCCATGTAATATATTACATCACTCAAAATGGGAATTTGTTAAAAGTATATCATTTAAGAATAGGACAGTCTATCATCGACCAAGAAGATTTTACACCGTAAATTCATCTTCGTCATCATTAGTTCCTTTTTGCATCTAAAGTTTTTAATTGGACTCTATTTTAGTCTTATGTAAAACAATAGTTTCTTGATTAATAGTTTTGACTCAGTTAACCTTTGTCGTTCGACCATGTGTATGTTATCTCATGCTTCCACTTCTAGTTATAGCTCAATTTTTCATATAAATTTGAGTGTTTTCTTGATATTGAGTCTGTATTCAAAGAAATGGATTTTTTTTACAAAAGTAAAGTAGTTGGTAAAATAAACATTTCACTTGTGTTCGGTAGGTGTTTTGATTGGGACATAAGGTGATGTTGGCGATGAATTGTGTGTGTGTGTAAATAAGAATTCTGCACATAAGATTTCACTTTAAAGAAAATCAAATTCATAGAATCTTTCACCAGTATTTTTAGATGAACAGTAAAATGAGTTTCTCGTTAGAAATGCAAAATGAGCTCAATATATAAGATTAGAATCAGTCGTCACTGGAATTGATTATTCACACCCCTAGCCCATGAGACAAACGATGTTTCAAATGAAAAAGCTCCTTAAGTAATAGAAGTAAGGTTAAAGAAATACACACGAATATTTAAGGTCTTGTAGATGTTAGAAATCACGACAGTAATCTAATGCCAATAATCGTATTGCTCTCACTGGTAGGAAAAGTCGAGAAATTATTGCACACTGTAAACACGAATCAATGTGACGACTAAGTGCTTAATGTGTTGTTTGGTCTTAATTACACCATACTGAAACTTGTAATGGATACTAGTGACTAACCATATTTTATTCAGTGAAGCTTCAAAATGTACAATATTCTTGTTATCGTACACATTATTGTTTACACAATGAAATTCTCAAAATTTAAATAAATTGACTTAAGCTAAAATTCGGTGTTTTTTTGTAGGAAATTCAATGAATATGGGACAAATTTAGAAAGAATAACTAGTGCACCATTTTGGCCTCCTTTAAGTGGAACAGCATCAGGGATAAACCTCAAAACTATTCCTTGTTCAACTGAACGTTATTCCTACAAATTGGAAGGCCAACCCTCAAATTTAAATGTCTTCCAGCCTGATCCCACAAAACGAAGTCATCGAAACCAACCAGCTCCACAATTGTCACGAATATTACGACCTCGGCGATTTGTTTGTCGAAAATGTAAAAAAGCATTCCATTTAGAAGAACATGGTACGGAGCTTTCCTCTTCCTTCCTCACTGATCAGATAGATCGTCGCATTTCGGATTCATCTGCCCTAAATTCAGACAACGAAATAAATCATTATCTTCCTAAAAGCAACTTTTCTGACCAAATTACACTAGCGACACTCAATGGAAATTCTCAGTCTATTCGCCACGTCACTCCACCAATCATCCCCAAACTAAATGAAGAAATGAAGATAAATGTGGATGATTCGTCAAAATCAGAAATTGATTCTAGTTCTGATATACGCTCAAAATCTAAAAAGCATTTTATTTCTGAACAGTCGACTAAAACTCCAGAATCGTTAGAACCGAAATTAGTCATGTCGAAGAAACGGAAAGTCGATGTTATTCCCGATAAGCAAAAGCTGAAGAAGATTAGACTAAGTTCTCAGAAACTCACTGAACCGATTAATGTTAGTAATACAGTCCTGGTCGCAACACCACCTGTCGTTAATCCGGATTCATCTGACCCTGCAGTACCTTCATCGGAGGAAATCAAAGATTTTCCTACTTCTCCAATCCTAGTCGGTAAGACAGATTCTGTTGATTCTCTTTCGTCTCAGGAACAAACTCGTAAGAATCGAATCAAAGCTCAATACGTATCTGTCACCTCTCCGTTTCGTTATCCGTTTGGGAAAAAACCTAGAATCTCTTCCAAACAAGAAATTGGAAATATCAACTCGATTAGTGATAGCAGAATAAAAGTTGAACCAAACGCTACTCGCAAAGGCTCTGAAAAATCAGAAATAATTTCATCAACATCTTCAAAAACGAATCTTGGCGTACGAAAAAACTCTCGATACCGTACTCGTACTCAGCTGAACCCACTTTCTGTCACTTTGGATTCACTGGGTCCTTCTTGTTCTGTGAAAGATTTAGAAAGTCGTTCAGAAGTGGATGAAATTCTACCTAGTGATTCTCTTGATGGTGATTTTCCACAAAAAGAAAATATCCAAAATAGTATAAGCCCACGCCTGTCAAGCCCATCTAAGGAGAAGCATTCTGCTTCCGTACAGTTAACTTGTAAAACGTCTACGTATGGACACAATTCTGCCTCAAACAATTTTGGGATTTCTATGAGTGAGAGTAATTTCTCTCCACAAAGTCGACGTAAAGCTTTTGATTACGAAAAACCAAAAAACAGATGGATGCGTGAGGCACGAGCTAGAAGGTGTCAAGATGAACGAAACAGTAATCCTAGTTCCACTGCAGCAAGTCATATTTCAACTTCATCCAATAATACAGATACGGAAAACTCTGCATCATGTAATGCACAATCTCCTAGTTTAAACCGACTGCGAATTCGGTCAGGTGATGGATCTAGTGTTAGTCCTAGCGAAAGTACTTTAAAAAGTAATAGCAATGTATCTTCTAAGGTTAAGTTGCATAATGGGTCGTTAAACAATCGTAACATTGAATCAGGGGACGCTTCACAGTCCGAGAAATATTTGGACATAACTGACCAAAGGTCTACATCTCATGTGTCTCCATGCTTGACCCCGACAAGTGATAGTTCTGGTCTTGCCCTTCCTGTAATAAAGATTAAAATTAATCGGAATAGACAACCTTCTGGGTGTTCGAAAACTGTACCGACGCAATATGAAGTTGTCAAGTTACAGACTGGTTCACATCTAGAATTAGCTACTTCGGCTTCTAAAGTTGTGAGTGAAGAAAATAGTTCAATAGCGAATGCGAATCCATCTGCTTTGAAGTTAGACATTCTTTGCAATGGTTTACGTTCACCGTCACCGTCACCATCCGCCAGTTCTTCAAAGAAGGGATCTACATGCGAGAGTTTAATAATATCAGGTCCTTTAGTAAAACGCTGTAAGTTACATGACGGCATTGTTTTTCGTGTCGGTGACCTAGTTTGGAGCAAACTTTCAGGATGGCCTTACTGGCCTGCACAGATTACTAGCATACAACGTGTAGTTGCCAATGAAGTTGATTTACCGAATTCTGAACAAGTACGCCCCGTCGTGGATTTCCAAGAACAGTCATCTCCACTTTTAACATCAGAGCAGGTTTGTTATACTGCCTGTCTTCATTGGTTTGCTTGGAATCAGGTGTCATACATGCCATGTGATAAATTATTTCATTTCCTAGAACATTGTAAACGATTTGATAACAAAAAGAAACGTGGAGTTTTTCGCCAGGCAGTTAATGAAGCAAAACAAGCGGCAGAAAAAAGGCAAGAAACTCACTCTACTGATAGTGAAAGTGAATGGGATCACGAAGTTTTTAGCAGCACAATACATCAACAATCTTTATCTCAGCCATCTGAAATATCTGTTCTCGATGATGCAAAACAGTTGGAGGTTTCACAAACTGCATCATCACTATCCATTCCCGACATGAACCTTGGTGCAGAAGTGAATGCGACCACAAAGCGAAGTAAACATCTAAATAACAAAGTAAGAAAAAACAAAACCAAAGTCTCTTGTGAGAAACAAGAACCTTCGATGTTATGTCCATCAGTTGTTGATTCTTCGAATGTATCCTTAGGTCAAGGTACCTATAATAACATAGGCGGGGAAGTCACTGCGTCTATAGAATCAAAATTACATGCGATGTCTAAACGTAGATCAAAACAGCAGACTAAAAATAAGGTTTATGCTAATACTTCTGAAGATAAAAAGTTGTTGGTAGAAGAGTACAATTCTTCTTTAACAAATAATAAATCTAATGTTCGTTTAAAAATTATTCTTTCGAAACCGAAATTGAGAAGTAAGCTCAAGTGTGCTGAAGTTTTGAACAATAATGCACAAAATTCTTTTGAAAATGAAGTTAATAATTCTTCTTCATTATCGAATCTAGATGTCCCAATTACTAATAACAAAATACATCAAATTGTTGAAAATTCATCAAAAGAAGACACAGAAAGTCCATTTACTTCAGGGAATATTCCTGAATCAAATATATCAACTACCGATTCACAAGACTTTGATAAAACATTTAGTGCCACACATTCAGAACTCCTAACTCAATTCCCACATGTATTTCCGGATCTCAAAGTTTCAGGTATTCTATCCGACACAGTCGATATACCTACATTTTCTGAGGATGAATCTGAAGAAGAAGATGCTGGTCGTTTGATTATTGATCCTGATGTAATGGCTTCAGTCAACGTTCCCTTATCAACTGGTAATCATCATTACATCACCGAGACTTTAAAACAGGATCCGGATGTTCTTCGAGAAGATTTATACAGTCTTTCCTCCGATAATATGTCCTATAACCATGAACTATCATCTCAAGCATTTGATAGTATTCATCCATACTCTCGAACGTCTTCAACTACTCTTACACAACCGTCGATGTCGAATTTTGGTAATCCAGTTCACTCATCATCCGATTCATTTACACATTCTTTTAATTCCTCAACATATTCAATGGAATGTCTAATATCTCAACCAGTTTCAGTTTATCCAACACATAATCAGTCATTGATCCAAACTGTTGTGCCAAGATTAACAACTCCACCTATTTTGGCGTCATCTACTGTATCGAACCTATCAGTACCCAGTAGAAGTGCTTATTTTCAATCTAACCATCTTAATGTTCCATCAACTACAACGCATAACGTGTCCTATGTTACTACTGAGTACTCAACATTATAACTGTAAGTTAACTATTTGCTTACTTGCTTGGCACTATTCCATTGACTCCTTATTTTCGTATTTCTGTGCTTGTCAACATCACTACACTTACTTTGTATTCCTAAACAGCTTGAAACTTTTAAGGTTATTATTGACTTTAAGGCGACATTCGATTGACTGACAGGCTTTGCGAAAGTTTTTGTTTTCACAATCTGTACCAAAGAAGTACACAAGCATTGTGAATGTTGTTTGCTCAAATACTGTTACTTGAGTCAAAGCTTGTGACGATTGTTACCAGATTTTGAAACATCAACTGTTTTTCGTTAGGGCTGCCAACTTTACCCATTTCCACTTTACCTTGTTCTAGTCATTCTTTCAGAGATAACACTCGTCTTACTTTTCAGGAACTGACCTCCTGTCAGGTGATTTTATGGAGATGGTCGAATTGCAGGGTTTTCTGATCACCGTGTATTTTATGACGTGTTTCTTCCTCTTAAAAGGCAAAACATACCTTCATGACTATCTGTGGTAACATCTGAATCAATGGTGAGATTCATGTAGTTGAGTTTGTTGACCTCTTCACTTATCTTGAAAGTCTTGTCAGCCCTTGTGAATTGGTGTTTGATAATATCTTCGCGTGGACTCAGATAGCTGACTTTGACTTTGTAAACTTTCACCAATCATGTCGTACTCGAAATGTCTGTACGCCTATTAAAGGACAATTATGCTGTATAACAGTTCTCTCTATTATACTTTATGACCGTAAAACGCAGTTATCGAAAGTAGAGAATAATTGTAGATTATCACTATAAATCAACTCTGTTCAAATTCTAATATCTGTGCTGGTATTTTATTAAAGCATTGGTCAATACAAGTTTGTACCAGTTAAGTCGATTTTGATTAACCAACCATATATATTAGCAAACGTTGTACAGTTTAAGTAAATGATTTCGTCGAAAAGAAAATTTTCTTCGTTTTGTAATGTTTTGATAAGGGAATGTTATTTGTAGATAAAAGTCAGATGCTGTTATTTCAATATTCTATGTGTGATACTCAAAAAGAGCTCTAAATTGTAAAATCTCTTTTGTTCGGTATGATCCGTGTTTATATTTTATCAAATTGTTGTCGTGCACTTAAAGTACCATGTATTAAAATTGGTATGATTGAAATTATTCATGTGTGTATCCAATCGTATACTCTTGTCTCATGAGCTATCTTTCCAATTGGGTATGTTTGTAATCTTTTTCTGAAATCTGTCAGTAATTTTATACTGTCAACTCTCAAGTTAATCACGAAATGTGAAGTGATCACACTATCAGTCTATCCAATTACGGTGTTCCTCTCTTTACCCGATACTATGTGTTTGCTGGAATTCCGAATACATTAAGAGCGGAAATATATAACACGAGCTGTTATTTGAAAACAATTTCATGTATAGAATTTATTCCTATTTCCAAATAAGTCACAAATCCCCTATTATTCAACGGTAAAATCTCTAATTAGTACCTGGAACTACTTAACAAGCTTTATGGTTTTTTCACCATTTTAGATACATCTCATCAACTGACATCACCCAATAATTAAAATGGAATCTACGATTCACTCCTAGCTGTTACTTGAAATGATTCAGTACAAATCATTGTAAAATATGGTTGTAATTTTCATCATAGATTTATGTGCTTAACTAGTATTTCCAAATATTATTTCATTTCTACTGTATATCTCCCTTTCAAAATCTCTTCAGTATGAGTTAATTATTTTTTCGTTTAACATTTGGATTTAATTAATCCCTCCCTGTGATGATGATCTTGGCGTTTAACATTAGTCAGCACCGATTTTTTTCTCTTACTATTATTTCTTTGGGACAATAAATGAAAACCATTATTAGACTTTCGTCCAGACAACATTTAACAAAAGCATCTGTGAAATGATGATATAATACCTCTTGTTTATTCTTTTGTATATTTTATATATATATTTATCTCAACGCCTCTCCTCCGCTCTTTCTTCCTTGCTTGTGATTTGTGATGTTTCTGAACACCATGTGTACATATATACATATTTATTCAATAGTTAACATTGCTTTAAATTATCTCCTGTTACCGTTATTTTCTAAAATCATTGTAAATTATTAACTTCCTTGCTTAAGGTTCTGGGTGTGTGTGCATAACCCCTTAGGATTCGTGAGTTTACTTAAAATACTGTCTTCCTTTTGTTTTTCTGTTTTTGACTGTCTAATCTCAAATAATTTTCGCGGTTTACACGTTGAATTATGATGGTTGACACTGCTGTTGTTGTACGTATATTTGTCTTATCTTTTCTGTCGTGCGTCATGTCGCTACTAGAGAATAGGTGTATGATGATTTGTCGAATTTCTACACATTTATTTACTATTTTATTAGTACTACGGTAAACTATGTAAGAGATGTGGTACAATGTGCATCGATTCAATTTCATACACATTGAAAATAGCCTTTAGAGACTAAGAACTAATTAATGGAAACAATAATTGGAATAAAATAATAGTGAGATAATTACTGTCAACCAGTGGTCGCAAAATTGAATTAATCGTATGTTCAAAATGAGATGATTATTTTTGTTAAAAGACTAAAATTTGATGATGGGGATCTTTAAACGATTATTTTTATTAGCTTCGTGATTCAACGTCAGTTTTAGTTTTACTAGTCTAACTGTTGGCTTCAAAAATGTACATGTGTAATAGTGTACACTTGTGGTTGAAATTAAGATAACTGGTGTAAACTGTCAAGTTGGATTCGTTTCAATAAACAGCCACTTAAGTCCTACTAACAGTGGCATTTTTAGTGGCCCGTGGATCTGACTCCTATCGTATGGATATTTGCTATCGCCGATTCTCGTTTATCATCGTCGACTTTAATCACGTTAGTCAATAACGGAATCAAATAAGTCAAATAACGAGAATGGGATTTTGAATACATATACTTTGTATATAAGGTGAATGGAATAGCAGGAAGAGTAGCGATGCAGGGTGGAGATCGCTGGTGAGCCAACTCATTTTTAGTCAGGCGTTAGCCAATATTTATAGGCAGACAAAAATAAGCTACAGACATGGGATAAGAAGTGTACACACATATACGCTCACATAAAAACAATGAAGACTGGTAAGCGAATAACTAACAAGGTCAACATATGACTCAAGTAGAATGAATAGATCGGTCTGTCCGAAAACTAGAATGAGGTAAATGGGCTTAAAATAATAACTGTCACTACATATTTATTTTTACATATTCGTTCATGCTAAGACTTGATCTGGGTGAGTAATGTACCTTACTCGCTAGTCTCATGTTGATAAATGCCTTGGATATCCATTGTTTTGCGGGTGTTTTTTGTACAATGAAAGATTTACTCTGGCAACTACTTTTGTGGTGGAATTATAAGTCGCTCGGTAGTACACTTAACTTGCAATTATCGTATTACAGGGTCCGATCCCGCCTAATTTAATTCAGCTAGCCAACAGAGATTGTTAGTCAAGACAACGTATATCATAGCTTAAAGTCCAGTGTGCGGGCCCGTAACTTATTTTTCAACAGAAATTTCAGATTTTCCTTTAGATAACTAAAACTTTCAGTTAATAAGTGATGAATAGTAAGTCGAATTAATAGGTCCATAAGTATATTCGACTAAAAACATTACAAATTTGTCTTATTCAGCATCAATTCATCCTAAGTTTCTTATTGTAATTGTGTTTTTCATTGGCTAAATAATTTTTAAATGTATCTTACTGTTAGTACAGACCATATTTTGATGTCTAATGCATGATGTAAGCGCTGATGTTCTACAGGTCTCCTCCTCATACAGTATGACTATCTTGACATTTGTTTGGAAAATTCTGACCTTGGTGTTGGTTGACAATTGTTTTGAGTACCAGATGTTCTTCAGTTGTAAATATACTGCTCTTGCTTCGCCGATTCGCGCCTTCACATCTGCATCAGATCCACCGTCAATGTAAAGGTTTTTACATCTTCCGAAGCTTCTTCGTCAAGTGCGATTCGATTGTTGCATGCTGTGTTGTGTCGGAGAATCTTGCTTTTTCCTTTGTGTATGTTGCGACCTGCTGAGGCTGCTGCTACACTGGTCGTCTTTTCCTGCATTTGTTGTTGCATGTGCGATAGAAGAACCAGATCATCTGTGAAGTCTATATCGTCCAGCTGGATCCAAGCTGTCTACTATATCCCATGCTTCCCCTCAGATGTTGACATCATGATCCAGTCGGTCACCAGGAGAAAGAAAAAGAGTGAGAGTAAGCAACCTTGCTTAACACCGGCCTTTACCTCGAACGAGTCTGTCAGCTGTCCTCCATGCACGATTTTACAGTTTAATCCATCATAGGAATTCCGTATGATATTGACTATCTTCTCAGGCACGCCGTAGTATCGAAGGAGCTTCCATAGTGTTGTCCTGTTCATGCTATAAAATGCTTTCCCGTAGTCAATGAAGTTTATGTAGAGTGATGAATTCCACTCAATTGATTGTTCCACAGTGTTGCGAGTTGGTCTTTACACGACCGATCCTTACGGAATGCGGCCTGTTGGTCTCGAAGTCGGGCGTCTACAGAGTCCTTCATTCTGTTTAACAATACCCTGTTGAAGACTTTTCCTGGTATTGAGAGGAGTGGTGCTCCTGTAGTTATCACAGTTGCTGAGATCGCCTTTCATTGGTATTTTGATCAGGGGGCCTTTTTTCCGGTTTGTTGGTACCTGTTCTTCATCCCAAGTCTTGCTGAAGAGAATGTGAAGTATTCTTGTATTTACTGTTACATTTGCATTCAGTGCCTCTGCTGGAATGTTGTATGATCCTGCTACTTTGCCGCTCTTGATTTGTCTGATGGCCATGCTGATCTCTTCAATTGTTGGTGGTCCAACATCGATTGGGAGGTTTGTGTGTGCTTCTTCGATGTTGGTGATTACTTTGCCTTCCTTACTTTTCACTGGTTTACGATAATTTTCAGCGAGTCTCTCTGTTGTGTCATACAATTGTCTCATGTGTCCTTCTCTTGCAGCCTTTTCCACCGTCATTGCTAAATCCTCCACATATTTACGTTTGTCAGTTCTGATGCTCCTCTTCACTCGTTTGTTTACTTTTGTGTATTCAGCTTGTGCCTTAGCTTTTTCTGCTCTTGTTCGGCTGGTATTGATTGGAAACAGCTCTGATGAATGTAAGTAATGGTGGTGTGGATCTGTTGCCTGGAGAAAGACTTCTCGACCTGGAGTATGCGGACGATATTGTCTTACTGTGCGATAATGCCCAAGGCATGCAATCCGCACTTAATCAGTTGGCACGCTGTGTCCGTAGGTATGGTATGTGCTTTGCACCTTCGAAGTGCAAAGTACTCCTACTAGCAGGATTCCAATCCTGTACTCACCCTGCATGGTGAGCAGATAGGAGTAGTCGAGAAGTTCGTGTATCTGGGTAGCTGCATAAGTGCTGGTGGGGGTGTGAATGATGAGATCAATGCACGTATAGTGAAAGCCAGAGCGGCTTATGCCAATCTGGGCCATCTTTGGCGCCTTCGTGATGTTAGTCTGGCTGTAAAAGGTCGGATCTACAACGCGTCGGTGAGAGCAGTTTTGCTCTATGCTTGTGAACCCTGGCCTCTCCGAGTTGAGGACGTGAGACGACTCTCTGTGTTCGATCATCGCTGTCTCCGAAGGATTGCTGACATTCAGTGGCAACACCATGTCAGTAATGCAGAGGCTCGGCATCGTGTGTTCGGGCACAGAGATGATAATTCAATTGGTGTCACCATCTTGAAACATCGACTTCGGTGGCTTAGACATGTTCTCCGAATGTCGTCCCAGAGAATTCCACGTCGTGCATTATTTGCCGACTCTGGGACTGGTTGGAAGAAGCGGAGAGGTGGTCGGTGCATGACATGGTGTCGTGGCATGAAAGAAAGCTGCAAAGGACTGGCTTGTGTTGGTCCTTCACGACTCCCTGTTGGGGTCTGAGAGATGGTGCTACACAGTGGCTAGAGACGTTATCAGATATGGCTCAGAATAGAAGCCAGTGGCGATCCTGTTGTAACCTTCTTTTACTTTCTTCATAAAAAGTGGTTCTGTCTCCCTTACCTGAAAGATGTCTTCCGATTGTACTGTAGTGAAGACGAACACGGGTGAGGACAGCCAAATTGTATTTAGGGCAAATTACAGAATTACTTGGTAAAATAGAAGAACCATATAGTAAATCGTTAATTTGCAAAATATCATTCTATCATATCCATTGTCTCGCATTTCATTGTTCATGCGATTTCTTACAAATTCCATTGTTTTCTCGCTCTTCTTTTCTTGATCTTCTCCATCTTCTGCTGCCAGACATTGCGTTCTTTTGACTCACGTTATATACTACTTATATCAATATAAGTAGCATGCATCACACTCGTCCCCCCTTTTAACAAGTTGCTGTCGTAGTCTTTCTGATCTCCGTACCGCTGTGTTCTTTGGTGCTTTTCGTGATTCACACCCATGATTATCTTGAAACCATCTCTGTAGTTGACTAGCATTTACGCGTTTCTGCTTGTCTTCTCTCCGGATCGTGTAGACCGAGCCGCGTCTCTCCGTGATTACATACGGTCCTTCCCATTTTGGGGCCAGCTTCCCCGACCCTGCTTCCCCTGCTATGTTGCTTTTTCGTTCTCTACACTTTACTAGGTCCCCCACTGCAAAGGGTTTCCACGTTCTCCTCTGTTGTTCTGCCTTCTTTGTGTCTGATATTTGTTTCTCTTCCACGTTCCTTAGTGCCTCTCTCCTCTCTTTTCTTAACCTTGTTGTCGTCCACTTCTGTTGTTGTGGCCAGGTCTTATTATGCATTGGAAGTCGTGGTTGTCTGCCATACATGAGCAAGAAAGGTGACTTCTTGGGTGTTCCTTGTGTGGAGGAACGATGTGCCAGCAAAATCAATGGTAACTCTTTCTCCCGATTTCCTCATTTTGATGCTAATCATTCCTTTAACGTCCGATTGTTCCTCTCTGTAAGCCCGTTTGTCTGAGGATGATACGGTGTAGTTCGTATTCTCTTGATGCCAAACTGCTTTAAACGGGCTTTAAACTCGTCACTTTCAAAACAGGGACCCTGGTCAGTTAATATCATCTTCGGTATTCCGTGACACGCTACAATATGCCGGATTACCACCTCGGTCACTGTCCTTGCCCGCTGGTCTGCAATGGGTACGGCATCTACCCAACGTGTAGCATGTTCCGTCATCACTAACAGGTACTGGTTACCGCTCCTCGTCTGTGGAAACGGTCCCATCACATCCACCGACCATA